TTGATCCTACCTGGGAAATCTTCCAAAAGATATTGGATTCAGAAAAATGCATAGAAAGAATAGCTTGCCAAATGTCTGTGGCAGAGAAGGCTGGTATCATGCCGTTTTGGATTAACTGGTGAATATTGATTAATCTAGGTGACATCTAACGATAACTTAATAATTAGGACGCCACAACCACATGAGTTATATCTATCTTACAAACGTACAATAAGGCACAATTGCTTTCATCAGAACCAATTTTGTACTGTTAGCTTAAATATTAGAATTAATTGAACAACTTAAAGATAATAATAATATATAAATTATGTTTTTACATCGGATTTTTACGATAATTTAATTTTAAAGTAAGTTACAAACCTTTTTGAATTATAGTATTTGACATATAGATACCTCTTATACTCATAGGTAACTCACTTGAAAATTGAAATATTGTTTTTTTAAGTTGTAATACACCCACAGATAATGTTTTTAGTTTTTACCTTAAAGTTCGACCATAAAAAATTCACTTAAAAAAGTATTAAAATTAACATCATAAAATTGTATCTGCAGAACCCAAATTTGATAATATGTTATTCGTTTGTAAGACGGATACAATCAATAACATGTGGTTGAGGAGTCCTCTTCATGTTCTTAGTGCATAATAACACTTTTAGAACGAATTTTGAATCGTAACTGTTTTATAAATATAAAATGTAATTATATTTTTATTTTATTAATTAAATACTCAACAATATCATAAAGTGGTTAAATACTCACTCATCTTAAAGTGGTTTTATTATTTAAATACAAACATTTGTATTATTTTTTTTTTTTCTTCCGTGACTTCGGCCTTCAAGACCATGTCGTCCAACAAATTTGTCTCCATATTTCAATATCTAAAGCTAACTACTTTCTCTATGTATTCTTTGATCCTATCTTCCCAGCGTAACCTCAGCCTCCCAAGTGGTTTTCCTTTCGGTGCATTCTCTTGTACTATTTTTATAAATGCCTATGTTTTTCTCCAAGAATGTCCTGCCCACTTCAGTCTTCTTTTGGTGATATCTTCTTTAATGCTTGGTCTTTGATACAAATCCTGAAGTTCCTTGTTTTTACGTATTCTCCATTCACCTGTAAGTTCATCTATACATGGTCCATAAATTTTCCTCAGTACTTTTCTTTCAAACCCTAATTATTATTAGGTTATAATTATTGTTATTTGAAGGTATAGTAATATGTTTTTAAACAAATATTTTATATTTTTAGGATTATATACCACGTCTCAACATTTATTCCCAGCGATAAACTTGTATCTTATCTCAAAACTTACAAAAATGTAAATAATGACATTTTAAATAATTCAACTTCTGCAGAAAATTGGACAACATGGTGCTTAGAACGATACAAATGCAATAATAGTACCAATAACTTATCGAATGTGGTGAACACAGAATAGTAGTATTATTTTTGTATTTATTTACTTAACCAGGTATTACCATTGAGTACTACTATATATAGATACTGTATAAACTAAATATTGCTTACATATAAACAATATTTGTATAATAATTATGTGTGTAAGCTTATCAATAGGTTATTCAACAGTGACGTATTTAGGACTTTGTTAATGCGAGGGATATTAAATAATATGTAAAGACTAGAAGGTTAAAATTGTTCATTTAATTAGTTTTGTAATTTAAAATAATGACAATTGTAATTTCCTGATTATTTTTCGGAAGTTTGTTAATAACATCAACCTAAATATTCAATAGTCTGCGAATGGAGAATATTACAAGTACATTTACCATTATTTACCATAACATTAAATTTGAAATCGTATAAGTACTAGTAAATAGTAATTAGGCAGGTATAAGTTTATTTAAGAAAACACTAATCTATCCTCCTTCATAGTGGTTCTGAGATGACTCTATACTCTGAGTCTTGATTTGTTTCAAACTTTCATTAGAGAACATGTACGCCATATGGCCGACAATGTTTTTGTATTATTAGATGTATAATTATTATTAGATGTACACATAATTAGGTATGCATTTATTGATTGGTTGTTTAATCAGTTGTGATTTATACTTCTATATTCAATAGTTTTATGGTAGATAATACAAAAAAAAGATTAAATGGGTAAATATATCTCCCTAATCACATCCTTTCACAAAATACTGTACTTACTGGGTTATTGGTATCACTGTATCAATAACTATAAATATTTAGAAATATAATAGCTAAATATAGTTTTTGGCAATTTTACGATGATAAATATTTTTTTTTAAATGTATTTTATACTCTTAAAATAGGCACCTACCTAGATATTATAATAACCTATTTAATAATATTATGAAACCAACACAATTACTAATTATAATGAGTAATAACAATCAGAATTAGACTCATAATAAAATAAGCACCATAAGTAACCATGATAATAATAATAATAATAATAATAATAATAATATAATGCACACAATTTAATATATTATAATATATCTATATTTTATTTATTATATACAATATCAGCTACTAAGACCATTACTTTAAGCATATTTGAATAAAACGTCTAAATATAAAAAATTAAATTGTTTTTATAGAATATGTAGTGGAGTGTTCCTGTCCCTGTTCACTTCGCTCACCAACCCCATCCCATCCATCCATCCATCGGAAACTCCCCCTTTGGACTTCGGCACCCTAACCCAAGGGTCATCTCCCTTAGCTTCTTGAAATTCAATATAAATTAATATTTATTAATAGTATTTAAAAATAAAATATACACCATTTTTTTAAATATAATTATATGTACAATGTGGTTAATTGATAATTATTGTAATTATTAAATTTGTATATCCTGTCCAGTATCTCTAAACCGCAGTAGGTGAGTTGATTCCCGAGACCTACTTATGTAGGTATTAGTTCATTATTAGGTATGTAAGAGTTGATTCCTTGGCCATTATATATTATTTCTAATATTTAGTCAAATATTCAGCCTAACCCAAGAAACACCACGAGGAGTTTGGCTGAAAAGTTTCTCAAAAATTGTGTTCTTTTTAGTTTTTTCATATTTTGAAAATCATTTAATTTATTGTTGAAAAATTGTTATAAAAAAATTTAGTAATTAGGTAAAATATTATTATTAAAAAAATGTATGTACGAGTTGATTCATTTGTCATTATATGACATGGTGTACTGGTAATTTTATTTCATTACTAAAAACAAACAATGTGTTATACATTTGTACCAAATTACTACAATTTTTTATAATATTTTACCTAATTACTAAATATTTAATAAGAATTTTTGAACCAAACTAAAAAAACGAAAAAACGAAAAAGAACAACATTTTTGAGAAACTTGTCAGCCAACCTCCTTATGGTGTTTCTTGGGATAGGCTGAATATTTGACTAAATATTGAAAATAATATATAATGACCAAGGAATCAACTCAACGGGGCGAATTTAAGTTCCCACACGAAAAAAATTACACCCATACGTAAGTTCCCACGCGAAAAAAAATTACACCGAGTACATACGTCCTTCCCACTTTATTCAGACTTAGGACTGACAACTTAAATGTAGTTGGTTTGGTTAAAATTTGTTTGTTTTTGTGTTGCATAAAAAAAGTGCAATCAATTTTTGAATTAAATCTACCTAGTCCAAATATATAATACAAATTAATAATATAATGTATAGGTATCAGGTATGGTCCACATATTATTATTTATATATAAGTAGGTATAAAATAACAATAGTTAAATAGAAAAAATTAAATTTTATTTGGCTTATTGCTAAAGCTCAAACCCTTCACATAGTCATACTGTGTAATTATTTTTAAGTTGTAATCTGATATTTTGTTATTGATATAGTTCCCCCCTAGTATTTGGGCTAGTGCTAGTTCTGATACAAGTCTTACTACAAACGCTCACGAAAGCACAAATAATATGTGGACCATACCTACACATTCTATTATTAATTTGTATTATATTTTTGGACCAACTACGTTTAAGTTGTCAGTCCTAAGTCTGAATAAATTTTCTTGTTTGAACTTACGTAAGGGTGTAATTTTTTTCGTGTGGGAACTTACGTTAGGTGTATTTTTTTCCTTGAGGGAACATATATATGTACTCGCTTACCTGCTATGTTTCGTGTTTGAACTTACTAAGCACCACTCAACGGTATCAGTGCAGGTAAACAGGTACCCGTAAATCAACTCGTACGTAGCCCTTTAAACAAGGGAATGAGGTCGTTCAAGATATCGTTTATCTTGCTTATTCGTATGAAATACGGTCTTTGAAGATGACGTGTTTAACTATAAATCTCACCACTTATAAATCATATACGAATTTTAGGTTTTCGGTTCATCGTTTCCTAATAGGTAACCGTGGTTAAGCGGTAACTGCTGATTCTAAATATATTTATTATTATTTTTACATAATAATATTATAAGAAATAATAATTTGTATTTGATAAAGATGAACTCTTTTTTGTTTACAATTATGAAAGTTTATATATTCAATAGTGTGATAATAATAAATAATAATATTATAACATTAAACAAAAAAAGTACCGGCACAATATTTTCTAGTCTATTGATATTTTAACACCACTTTCCTGTAAAAAAAAATGTACATTATGCTATTATATTCAGTTAGTTTTAAATAATGTTTATATTCTATTTTTGTGTATAGGCACTTCGATGAATATACAGGGTGCGGCGGTCAAATCCGACGATTTGAAAAAATAAAAAAATTAAAAAAAAATTTTTTATTAATTTTTCGATGAACAAAATATAAAAATTGGAATTTTATGTTATATATTTAAAAACTTTATTTTTTAAAGGTCGTGTCACGCAAATGCCTTCCTTGGTTAACCACACATTACTACTAAATTGCTCCATGATTACTAAATTCCGGGTATTTAAATGTGATAAGAACATCCGGAAATCTCTACCACTTTAGCCACGCCCACCAGTTCATGTTAAAATCGTCGGGTTTGACTGCCGCACCTTGTATTATTTTATAAGTATATAGCATATTCCTCAAATACATACACATCTTGGTTATGTGCACCGTAAATGCTTAAGTGTACATTTGGAAGTTTTTCTAGTGATTCAATTTCATCATATTTTTCTGAATTACCGTGCAAAGTAACTATTGTAATTGGGTCCGATTTACGTTGACACTCCAGTCGTTGTTTATTTGTTTTTTTAGACTCTGTATATTTTTTATCTTTTTCCCTGGAAAATCAAGTTATTGTTTGACGTCTTGATTGATTTTTATAATTCAATAGTTATTTTTATTGTTACCTGAAACGCTTTAGCATAATAGTACCACAGTTATCGAGTTTTTTCGATTCAATGAGTTCAGTTTGAGATTTATTGATATCGTGATTTTCTTTTATTTGTTTTTCTAAATAATTATCACTGGACAACTAAAAAATTAGAAGAATAATTATTGTGATTTTATATAGTGATGTAACTACGTAGGTAGTGAAAAAAGTATGTTATTAATTTTGTTTCTATAATAATTTACGTAATATTGTATTCAGTATTAATTAACAAACCGTCCTAAATATCATATACACGCATGCATTTGAAAACATTCATTTTAAAGAAAAAAACCCATTTTTATATTTTCATAATATTTATGATTGAGTCGTATTAATTAATAGTATCTTATCTGACTTTAAACAAATTATTTATGAAATGTATTTAAGAAAATAATCGAATTTTATTATTTATATTACCTACCCATGTAATTTATTATAATATTATATTGTCCATTTACTATAAATTCATAGATTAAGTGGTATAGCTTATTGATGTAATAAAACTATATTTTTATTTATTTAAGATACCTATGTAATATTCTATATAGATTGTAAATAAACATTTCATCAATAAAAATATTTTTAAAATACCTATAATGAATAAATTATGAATCGAAGAGAGGATATAAAAGTATTAAATTCGTTTTCACATGACATTTTACTAAGCATAATTATCGAGACAATACACTTGATTTTTTTAATAATTATTTAGCATCAGAAATATGCGTGTACAAAACATCAAACTATGAAACGAACTAGTAAAATTTCAGTTCTAATAAAATATTATATTGATTGAGGAAATTTTTAGAATGACTGTTTTTATACTAATAATATTATTATGTCCTTAACACAATAATAATGTACCTCTATTGCCTATACGATATGCCGTTCAATGTTCTAATAAACAATATTATTAACAAAATATGTGAAGTGATGACACTTGGAAATTCGCCTTTGTTTGCTTATTTCACTACAAGCCAATGGTAAATTTTCATGAACTATTATCAAGCCAACAGCTATAACTTTAAAATCATGTGCAATTTTTTTTTCTTATGTATTGTAATTTGGTAAAGATTTCTAAAAAGTCTATTTTAGGATGATATTCTCCCAAATCTATTTTTATATTAACTATAATAATTTCTTGGATACCTGATAAGTAAAAGTGTAAAACACTTAAACACAACATAATAATAATAATGTTTATTTTACTTTTACTGAATACCTACGTCTTGATTATTAATAAAATTAAGATCAGAAAAAATGCAAATAAAATAAATAATACTTTTTTTTCAGTTTACAATTTATTTGTATAATATAAGTATAAAACATAACTACTAGGATACCAAAGGTACTAGATTCTTTCAAATTAATATGTACAATAATTTTTTTTACAATAAGATAAAAAAATTAAACATTTATAAAGAAATCATTGTAATATTGTAGGTATTCATTTTTATTTTAATTAAGTATAATTTTGTTTATAAAAACTATAATATGTTTATTTAGCATTGGTTACCCTAGAGATTTAAGAGATAACTAATAAATGAAAGTATGAAATATTGGAAAGAATGGAGGCTAGCTGCAAATAGATTTTCATGAATTTTTTTCTTCAAATTTTGTGTTTTCCACGTTTAATGATGGTGCTATAAAAAAGTCGGTCAAATTTTCTGTAGAAGTTATAAGATTAAAAAAACTACAAAACCTTAAATTCTTATTATTAAAATAAAAAAAATAACATTTTTTTTTTTGTTTTAAATGTGAGATTTTAATCCTTATAATTTTGGTGAAATAAGAAATTACCTATTTTACTTACTGTACCTATATTATATATTGGTAAGAAGGAAATTTAATAAAAAAAAGCCCTTTATGGATAGGAATTCGTAAACTAGTGTATAACTTAAAAACTAAATCCGACCGACAAATTCTGTTTGCATCTCAAATTTTTCTTAACTCATTGAAAAACAAAGGTTTCCAAAAAAAATGTTCAAAATCTAACTACATTTATAAGTCATAGATTATAACCTAAAATAATATTTACCTTACATTTTAAGAAATAACTTTTTGGAAAAGTATATAATAAATATTATAGCCCCGGGGCGCCAAATGTTCAAATAATGCCCTACACAGTGTGCAATAGTTTATTAGACACACTGCATTTTAAATACATATTTGTTAAATTTAGATGAACTGCTTACTGGTTAATGAAAATTTATAATTTATACTGATTTTTACATTTTTGTAATTGACATTAAATTTTAATACTAATTATTAGGAATCATTAGTTTAGTGTAGTAAGTATATAAGGTACTCGTATATTAATAATAAATATAAAATAGGTATTGAATCTTTTAGAATAACCACATATACATAATATGCAAACGTAATAATAATTTATGTTTTTGATTTTATACTAAGATATAATTGATCTTTTATTTAAAAAAAATAATTTAGGCATTGTAAAACTTTTAATTTTTATAACGAATATTAATTTTAAACGGATCTTACTTTCCCCGTTATTTCAGGATCGTTATCTGCACATTTTCTTAGCATGTCACAATTATTTGCATTGCAGTCAGGCAAAAAAACATTTTTCTTTTCCTTTTTCCACTTCGTTATTGCTTCTTTTTGTTTATTTTTAAGTTCTTCAAATTTTACGAACCAGTTTTCATGTTCACGTGCAGCATCCTCTGATATATCTGTAGTGTTTTTATAAAGCCATGCAAATATAATAGAATAACCATATAACTATCATAAAAAATTAATGTTAAAATTATATAAACTGTTCTGAATTCTGTATAATTGAGATTATGTATGTACGTATGATAAAATATTAACGTATTGAATTCTCGAGGTTCGATCAATAAACTTATATGTTCAAATCACATTCCAATTGACAAATGAATTGTTTTATTTATTTTAACATAATAAATAATTAAACCATCGTCTATATTATCTTAACATCTAGAAACTCATTAAGTACCTATATAACAATGTTTCGATGGTGAAAATAGTGCTCTTTTAGAATACAGTTATAATATTATGTACACCTGTTATCTGAATGCATAATACTAATTTGCATTGTAATATAGGACTAATTATAATTAAAGTAATTATACTCTAAAAAAAAAAATTACTAGGTAGGTATATAATTTGTTATAACCTATTGTTAACAAATATCCTCAACTGTTGGGGTATGCCTCTTAGATGGGTGTTTCAGTTGCAACTTAAAATAGTCAGTGCGTTGAAATAATTATGGTCTATATAATTAATTACATGTAAAATTATATATGCAAGTGATAAAACATCGCTCAAGCAAAACGATTCTAAATACGATTGTTTTAGAATTATGTAATAATATTTTCGTCTTGAATTTCATTTAAAACGTTTGTTGTTAAGTGTGTTGTTTTTATAGTCAAGTTTATTTGAGATTTAAATACACCATTCAATATTCAAAAATGTAAATGAATATGTATAATTTAAATGAGAATATATTTGTACAAGTGTACGTATTTGTTTTGATATAAAATTCCTCAAAGGTCGTTTAAACAAAATAATATATTAATATAACATAATACTGTATTGTGTTCATTTGTCTTTGCAGTATATTATAGTCTCTTAAAAAGAGCACAAAACACGTTTGTATATTAAATTATTCGTTCAAATATTACACCTTGTCCGACTCGTTCTTAATAAATAGTTAGTGTTTGTTTTAGAAATGGAAGTACCTAATATTATGATGAGTACAATATTTAAATACGTACCTAATTAATAATTTTTTAATAACTATGATTAATTTTTCGCACGAACAATTTTATCGTAAGAATTTAAATTTCACTTAGCTCTTCAGATTTATTTCATTACCTAGTCTAGTGGTCGGAAACCTCTTTGGAATTTGGAGCCGCACTATACATCATTTAAAAAAAAAAAAAAAGAGTTTCGTAGGCCTTGTCGGATAAAAATTAAAACCTTTTAGTCTTATTTTAAAAAATAATGGCCATATGGAATAGCCGAATGGGCCGTGACCTTACTCTATACATTATATATTAAATAATATAGTAAATACATGTACACAGTATTATTCATATTGCAGACATGTATTCATAAAATATATTACGTGGCATTGATTGTACAACATGATCAACGAAATCAGCACCGTCGACATGTTTGGAACGGATCTTTAAAAATGTTTCATGATCTTTGCTAGACCAACCTCCGGTAAGACCATAGTTTCGTGCACAGAAATCATGGAAATCTGCAATTTCCTAAACGAAATGGAATATATTAATATAATATTTTATTATTACCATAATATATTATATTGTACACATAATATAGGTATTTAGCATAATATTTTTGTACTTTTGAGGAGTATGTATTTTTCGAAATTGGAACTCTTTTTATGGTTTTTATTTCCTTCTTTTTTTTACTAATAGCATCGGCGTGTGGCTTTGAAACGACATCATGAAGTGCTAATTGCTTTACCCTTTCGATTTCTTCAAACAGCGAGGATTGCTTAAGTCGCTCTTCTCGTAATCTTAAAATTATTAATCTCCTTAATACTCTATAATACGCTAACAAATTTATTATACATACACATTTCAGTTGGCTTTCACTCACTTTTTTGAGCATCCTTCTTTTAATTTTGACAGCTTCGATTCAAATGTCTTAATATCATTTCGAAAATTTTCAAACCCTATAATAAATTCTTTTGATTACAATCAATACGATCTTTCTATTAAATTGAATGAATTTAACTTAACATGTTTGTTGGGTTACCAAAAATGTGTTATTCATACTTTATTTATTTTATGAAAATAATTTTTAAGGCTTGGCTAGGTATATTATGCAAAAATATGATTATTTTACTAACTAATAAATAAATGGAAAATTGTGAAGTAGTAGCTTTTAACTTTCTAACAAAAAATATTATTTTAATATGCTAAATTTGGTTAATTATGTTATATTAAATTAAACGTTCTATATTATATTGAACTTAAGTTTTATTTTAGTGAGTGTTATAAAATTATTTATTACGATCAAGTCAGACTAAAGAAATCTCAACTATAGTCAAGATAAGCATATTTATATTTTCTTGAAAAATTGTAGGTGCTTGTTACACTCAGACAGTATACATAGAAGGTAACATCCATAATATAATTATTAATTTTTACCACAATTAACGAAAATTCTTGCATACGATAAAAATCTATTATAATTTTTTTTTGAACACCTGAATTTCTGAAAACTTAAACTCAAAAGAGTATAAGTGTATAGCTTATACTCCAAAAAATACCTAGCTAGTGGCAAAAAAAAAATACGATAATATTTTATGTAGATAGGTACACCGGTTTTACATACCTACTGTTTTGATTTTATTCACGTCTAACGCAGTCTTTTTCAAATAGGATAGTTTTTTTTTCATTTCTTGTATCGAACTGGCAAGTTGATTCAGATCCGCGTGTCTGAAACACGACGACGTAGGTACGTCATATTATTGTACTCTCGCTCACCTACATGTACTACAATAATATAAATGCTATATTCGAGAAAGTATACCGAAGTGTATTCGAACGACGTCCGTTTCTGTGGTCGATATACGGCGGGACGTTTATTACTCACCTGGAAGTATCGAGTTCTTGCTTGTATTTCAACATCTCCCTTGACGTGGGCCAGACGTTAGGTTTCAGATGGTTTTTGAGGATCTGCCAGTGGACAGCGTCCACGGCACGGTCGTCTGACCAAGACATGCCCGCAGTTTGCACTCCAATCTGACGTATTTAATATTATTATGTGTACAGAATAAATAAGTCGTAATGAGAGAAAAAAAATGTCTAATATTATGTTTTGTTGTAATCGTTTGGTAGACCGTCAGCCAGTAGATTATTACACCTAGCTGCAGTGCGCGTTCAAACACGAGCACGCATACTTGCCACCTGCCGGTGTCGGTTGCCGGGTAACATCCAAGGCCCCCAAAACAATACATGCAAGCTTACAGACCGAATCTAAATCGAATACTTAACGTGAACCACTTTATTCATAACCGTTATTACCTGTGTATATAATATCGCAATGCTTAATAATATTTATTGCATTATTTTATTATACGTATTGGTATCCGCGTACAATCGTACCACATACACACGCACACACTCTACACTACACTACCTGACGGTTTTTGTTGTTGACATGAATTCGTAAGTAGGTAAACGGAGAATAATATAAAATCTATGTACCGGTGTGTGCCATGTTTACATAGTGAAAATACGATAAAACTGTTGAGGGGCGGTTCAATGCGGCTTTTTTAATGTCATCTCCATTATAGTAACACTGCAGCTCGATGTAAATTATATAATAATAATATGCATATACGATATATTTTAGGTTATAATTTAAGTACAATATTTGTAATTGTGTAGTGTATTATTGATTTGATAAAATAAAAATGTTCTAGAATTTAAACATTGAAATATATTTTTACTGACATTTTGTTTCCAATTATTTAGTATCTACTATTTATTATCAAAAAAAAAATTACCTTTACCTTTACGGTTGAAAATTGAAATGCAATTCAATATTATTTAGTCTTAAAAACAGTAACTTCATTTTGGTCAAATGCAAATTATTTACAATTGATTTTGTAGTTTGTACCACTTTTTGGAGCACATATATTATTCACTTTACATATTTTACACATATAGGCAATAGGTACGTATATCGATACGGTTTATTATATATCTTTTATAATCTTTTATTGAGTAAAAAAATTTACATGGCATAGGTACAAAATGAATAATGGGTAGGTCACACACTCACACCACGACGACGGTGTGATAACAAATTTATGTATGGGTTTTATTTAATAATATTGAATTTTAGTAGAACTTGTAGTAAGATGATGATTTGTATGGATGAAGTGATTCGTGATGATTGTAACCAATGTCAGAGTTTTCACTGTGATGATAGGGTGCTTTGATTTTCTTGACTACAGCGTTGAAACCGTGTTCGTGGTCGGCTGTGTACTCGACAAGGCGTGTTGAACCATCGGCTTCTACTAAACTGTAAGATCCTTTGACATTACCATGGCCGTCGCTCACTTCGCTTTGGCTTTTGATGTCGTGTGTATGGAGGTCTTTTACGCCGTACTCGAAATGATACGGTGCAGGTGCGTGAGCATAGTGATCGTGGTGACCATCGTCGTAGCTTTTGTACTCAGGCGGGTAAGCAAGGGCCATTTGTCCAATTAGGGCAGCAAATACAATCAGCTGAAATTTTCATAACGTTTTTGGTTATTATATAGTCCGATATCTTGAATAAAGCCGATGTTATATTACATATATTTGATATAATAGGTAATATATTATATATATAATATATACCTAAATGAAAGTGTGTTGGTATATAAAATCTTTAATAGTAAATCAATTGTCATATAATTGATTCAATACCTATTTCCAAATATTAAGAGTTTTTGATTTGGTATTAAAATATAGGTACGTATTATTACATAGAACACACATTTATAAAAATATACAAATTAATAGGACCTATTTGATTTAAATTTCTGTCTGCGTAAAGGAAGTAAAAATTATTCATAAAATACTTATTTTATTTATATAGGTTATACTAATAAAGTTACCTAGTTATAACTTATAAATATTAAATGTACAATATCTTAGGTACCTTTGTAGTCATTTTGAATTTTTTGTAGATGCGTTCACACTTTTACGAGATGAGATTTTTAAAAATAAAATGTATTCTTCACAAAGAATGAACTGGGTAGGTACTGATAACTATTGGATCTTAGTATGCAGTATATATACCATGCAGATCCCTACTATATTAGATTGTTCAGCATTCACACAGATATGTTATAGTTTAGAATTTTATATAGTTATTGACTAAGAAATGGACACGCAGTTACATCAACTCATTAAAAAAAAATACATGAAAATATACATAATATCTTCCTAATTATTAGCATTAGATATACACATTACACAATTAATTGTGTTTTTAATTAACAGTGTTCTATCATTATCCTAAAAGAATTAGTCAATGATGGATTTCGATATGAAATGTAGGTACCTAGTGGTAAGAATATAAATCGTCGACTATACTTACGAGTTACAACCTACTTATTATTTAATATTATATTTTACCATACTATTATTATAGTTTCTACGTTATATTATAAACAATGAAATAATATTTCTTTATTACAATAAACTTGTAATTTATTTTGTATTTTAACTTTTCAAACCTAGTAGGTACAATCAATTACCTACATTTTTATTTTATCGTGAAGAAACTAGGTGGTACAAGGATAGGTATGAATAATTAGAGTTTTAGATATTTTTATGTTTGATATTTATCAAATATTGTTTTTCTTCATAAATTAATATAATGTAATATTACTATTGTGTGGTAAACCCACAATGTAGAGAAGATAAGGTGATACCCCTCCCTATCTCACAATGTAAAAAACCGATGTCAAAATGACAAAATGAACGGCAATCCTATGAGTTCAGGAATCTCACAAAAAAGTATCTTCTCTACATCGTGGGTAAACCTTTTTGAAACGGTTTTAGTGGTCGATTTGTCTGATGCGTGGGATCACGGTCTAGGCCGACAGCTATCATACCTACTATAGTAAACATTTTATTTTATTTTTGCATTATCTATATTAAGTTTATAATATAGATTATAGGTATAACAAAAGAAAATGATTATTATTTGAAAATAACTGCCTACATAATTATTTTTATATTAAAAAATTATTTTCACAAATATACCTATTTACATTTTATTTATTTCACTTACCTATGATAAAATAACAAATGAACTATGATAATATTAGATTATGGCTATTTATTATTAGTTTTTCTTTATACAATTTTAATTTCATTCAGGCGTTACTATTATAGGTACATATAGGCGGCCCTTCAACTGGTAGTATTTTATATTATGATTTATGATTCCTAATATTTCCCTCAGTTTTACATACTTCTTACATTGGAAGTTTCAATGAAGCTTCACAAATAAGTTGGCCCCTCCACCTTAGTAACTTATTAGGTACACTATATAAATAGTCAACTCAATTTATTGGTAGGTACATATTTTTATGTTCATAAAAGCAACACATATTGACAAACATAATATTATATAGGTACTGATTGGGTATTTGGGTCTGTGTGTTATATAAATAATATGGTCTAATCTTTAATGTTGAATATTGTATTTATTCAATTTCCATTTTAAGTACTGAGTAGGTACCTCGTACATACCTACTATTAGCCAGTTTTATTTATCTTAGCCGAATAAAATAACTGTAAATAGTTACATAAAAATCTAATATGCAATATGCACCTTTAGTTAGCCTAAACGGTTAGGTATTTGAAAAAAATATTTTGGAAATTAAAAAAGCGATAAAGACTAATAAATATTTTCTTTTGTTTTTATTTTTATAAAATAAGAAACAATTAAAAACTATATGATTAAATATTTTAAAACTTTTATTGGAATAGGTAGGTACAGTTAAAAACATAGGCTCTCCTATTATACTGTTAATATACTTTTATTAGATATTAATAAGTATTATAAAATAAATAGTTAAAATCTATGGTTTATTTCATATATTTTAGTATATAGATACTGAGAGGAGCAAGGAAGTTAGTGATTTTACAATGGTGTATATTTTTATTTTTTTATCCTGTATGCAAAATGTCTACCAGAAGAAGTGTTTGATTTCAACACATAGTATCTTATCTTTTAGCAAATTGGAACAAGATGGTACTTTAAAGGGGTCATTTGAAATGTTCTCAATAGTTATTTATTGCCAATGGAAAAACCACTGACAAATTACAAAAAACCGCTAAAAACTGGATTTTAATAATATCTATCGCTTATTGTTCATCACCATAGAAACAAATAAAAATTATAATATTATAACAGTAATGTAACTTACCTACAGGCTATAATAAATAATAATAATATAAAATATCCAGACTGACAAACTGTCCCCGCTCAGAATCGTTTTTCTTATACAATTTTTTTATATCATTTAGTGATGGACAAAATTGTCTTGGGCTTGCAGTCTTGGTCTTGGTCTTGGTCTTGGTCTTGCAGAGCCGTTTATAGTCTTGGTCTTGGTCTTGGTCTTGCACCCCAAGTCTTGGTCTTGCTGCAAGACTCTTGCAATATTTAAAAAAAATTGTTTTCCCTATTTATGCTATGAGTTTGTAGAATTTGTTAATTGTTTATTATTAGAATTACAAATTAAGTTTAATCTAAAAATGCTTATACCTAATGTCCTAATGTTCCTATAAATAATAAATATGAAGGAACTGAAAATTAACAAAATTACCGAAAAGATATAAAAAAAATTCATTAGAAACTCCAACTCTGATAAAAAAGGAAAAAAAATGCAGAATAAAAGAGTAAGTTTTCAATTATTTGATGTTTGAAACAAATGTGGTATCTACTTGATAAAAACGATGTTTAGGATTTCCAAAAAAATAATGCATTTTGCTTTCAAATCCGGGACCTTCCAAATTATCTAGGTACTAAAAATGGAAATTACATTATATTACCTATATACTATTATTATAGTATCTCCTAATTTATTAAAACATAAATACTTGTTTGGTAGCACGAATAACTGATTAAGTACCTACCTACCTATATTATCTTAATTAGTGTTTTTTAGGTAGGTATACCGTACTATGTCCGTATATCTATTGGGCCATCTATAATTCGCCAATCGAGATTTAAAAATAAACATAAACAGATTGGTACCAGTGTACCACCTACCTAACAATTACGACAATTACGTTATAGACTGTATAGTACTTTGACTATGACAGCATAGACTATCTAATGAGTACCTACTGGCTATGATCTATAAATACTGTAAATGTCATTGGTTTTAATGCTTATAGGATAGGTATAATAGGTTATAGGTATGACCGTGATATAGTCCGATATAGCCATAAGGGTAGAAAATATAACCTACCTAACAGGGTGAAAAATAGGGTTTAAAATAGGCTGCATCCGAATTGGGTCCCGAATTCAAAAATGCTATACTAGTTGGGTCCGGGATTTTTGCAGGTACTACACTAGTTGGGTCCGGGATTTATACAGGTACTACACTAGTTGGGTCCGGAATTTTCACACGTACAACAATAGTTGAGGTCTTAATTTTTTTTTTTTTTTGAGTACTACATAAGTTTATTTTCCTTCCCTTTTTAACAGACTTATGACTGTTTATTTAGACCAAAGTTATGGTTAAAAATGTTTTTTACAATTTATTTTTTTAGTTTATTTGCCATTAAAAATATAAATTATTAGAATTTTATTTGAATAATAAATGGCAATAACATGCAGGTACTAAACAAAGAAAAATATTAAAATTGTTATAAATCAAATATAAAAAATACATAGGTATTGTATAATATAAATAAAATATTGTTTAAAGAAATCACACGTGTGTTCTTAAAATTTTTTAAGACATTAATTTTGCAAAATCAAATCGATTTATTATTCCTGCATTTTTTTGATTCATTTTGTTTTTTATACATTTTGATAAATTGATCGTTGGAATATTTAAAAAAATGACTTACATGTTCTCTGAGTGCATCTCCATCGTTCAATATCATTTTTCGTTTGGATTGTATATTTACTTAAAATAATCTCAGACCCAACTAGTGTGGTACCCAAAAATATCCTGGACCCAACTAGTGTAGTACCTAAAAAAATCCAGGACCCAACTAGTGTTGTACCTGTGATTTATCCCTAGTACTTGGGACCCAACTCGGATGCGCCGTTAAAATAACATCGAGAATAAAAATAATGATTTTGGCAGTGACCTCTAGCGGAATCATTTAAAACGACATGTCGTCATTATATTTTTCACGTCCATGACAGACGCAGGTGGTTTATGGAACGACAAGACAAGTGCAGTTTCACAACAACAATAATAAATGTGGTCAAAATTTCAAACATCATCGTTCTTATCAGTCGTTTGTAACCGTTAAAAATTGTAAATTGGAATATTTCCGATTACGAATAGGAAGTTGTATCTCGTATTCTGGTGATATATTTATTTTTGATCAGTATTCTTTATTCTTTAATCAGTTTAATCTATGATAGCCGTCATTATATCTATTGATATAGCCGGTTCGCGGTTGTCTGTGAACTATAATGCCGTACTCGTTAGTACCTACTTAGTATTCGTCAATCGTTCGGATATTTGAATATCGTGTTTTTCCGTGTTCGATGGTCTCTGCGTCTTCAATCTTCACTGTCGTTGTAAATATTGTAATACCCACCAGTGGATGTCGAACCCTACCGGACGAATCCAACAAAAGGTACTTCCGACCAGACTTTGATTACAGACATTGATCCACTCGGCGGCAGCAAACCGGGTAGCCGGTAGGTTTTTCATAACGTTTTCGTCCAACTCGTCCACAGGCCAGTGATCACGCGCATACCATTAGTTACCATTTTGGTATCCATTTAGGTGGCTGGGTGGCTTTCGATTTGTTCTGGTTCGCAACGTAGGTAGAAGCAATGACTAGAATATTAACGACCGCATCAGATGTGTACGATCGTATGTCGGAGGCTCTGAACGGCCACAACAACGTCAAGTATATGCCATACCGTATTGCTCTGAAATTGACTGTCTTGCAAAAATACACTAGCCGTAAGTGCACATTTCTTTATATCCCTATTACCTACTCCTGTTACTATATAATAGTGATGCGATAGTTGTATCCACAGACTGAGATATAATATGTACATATTTTATTGCACTTATATCTTAGTCTATAATTGTATCTACTTAAGTATACTATTTATGAATTATTGATTCAACAATACTTCAATACCTACCTACCAGAAGAATTGTATTATTTTAATCATATGAAATTATAAGCGAGTTACTCATTTTATTATGTTTCTCAGATGTTTCTAAATAATAATTGCCTATACTTGAGGTACGTAGGTAGATCCTTTTTAGTTGTTTTTGTATTGGTTTTACCTGTAGTATTATGTACTTCAGTACTTGTTTTAAAATATAATAAATATAGGTGTTGTGTGCCTTCAAAAATTAACATCACTGTGATTTAACACTAAATTTTGGTTCATATGTGTTCATATTACTTAAATTAATACAATAAAATAAAATATACAAAGGTGTTTAATAGGTACTACCTACCTATATTCAGAGAACATTTTATATAGGTACCTATTACCCTTGTTATTATGTACCTACCTAATATTCTATTGTACTTATTTAATTTAAAATCAGTCCAGATAAATGTACTCTAAGTATCATCCACCTAAATTGATTCCTGTAAATTTTTATTTTTATAATTTAACTAGGTAGGTCTAGTACACTTGAAGTTTGTAAACCTTCCAGTACCTATTTAGATTTTTTAATTAATAGTTTCCTACTAGTTTGAGTAATATTATTAAATAATTAATTAATAGTCAATATTATTTGAAATATTATTTTGAGTACCTAGGTATCTTTGAATCTATAATACCCAGGATGATCTTTAAAATGTTTGTTTAATTTTAGGTAGGTACCTAATGGTTGTATTCATACACCATCCTATATAAACAATAAAATCATATTATTTAAATTATACCTACCTAAAAGTTAATTTAAAATTAAAAACAGTAGTTAATACCTGTTAATGCCTATGTTGCTTATGTTCATACTAATATATTATATCATGATGGGTTTTATCACTCAGTAATAGGTGATGTGGGATTTAAAAAAATTTACTATTTTGAATAAAAATTATAATCCAGCAATTAATTTAGGTTTGTAAATTAATATGTACCTGCTTGGTACCTGCCTAACAATATTAGAAGAGTACAATTTATAATTTTATTATTATTAATAAATTATAACATTACCTAAATTGTCATTTACTATTAGCAAGGTTATTAGCGGTTATTAGGTATTACTAGGTGCACATAATTATAAAAGTTTTATATTAGGTATATTATATTATTATTTATATTATAGACTCAATTTGGTATAAACATGACAGTGGTTGTTTATATAATATAAATATAGGTAGGTCGTAGGTAGAAATATTTATAAAATAAATAAAATATATACAAGTTGTGGATTATAAAAATTAATCATAACTCTATTTTTACATTATTTGAATTCAACTAAAAAGATGATAAAATATCTAGTTAACAATAATGAGCATAGTCCTTAAAGATTTTTAATTATTACAAATATTATATACCTAATTATTTACAATGTTTAATTACAAGATAAAAATAATAAAATAAAATAGTAGTAGAATGAAATGTATTATAATGAGCATTTTCCAATACGGAACTAATTTTATAGATGGTATGTTATGAAGACACACACGGTTGTCAACTGATATTGATAATACTGCTGCTTTCATATCTGGCATTAAATCTTTATTTAAAAATTCTAGCCCCGTAACAAACATAGCATGAGCTTGTTTAACATTATAAATCATTTTTAAGTTACTTGCTTCATGTATACTAACACTTCCCGAGTACATTGTACCCACAGCAATATATAATCCATCTTGACGTACTGCCAATGCTGATGTAGGCTCGGAAAACAATAACTCGTAAATTATTTTATTGTTTTCAGACCATCTTTGTAAGTAAGATTTTTGTTTAGGACCATTTGCAATTGTATATATGTTATAAATCGGTTTATTTCCAATTATACCAAATTTACATCTTTTGAATATTTGTTTTTCATTATCTGGATCTGGATGAATAAGTGTTGAACGCACATTAGTAACAGTATTCCAATGATAAGCTTTTCCATCTTTTGCAACACTTACTATAAATTGGCCATCAGAACTTATATCTATGTCATCAATTTCTTTAGTATGACATTTGTATTCTTTTAATGGTCTAGTATCTTTTGATTTAATTATTGGAAAGTTCCAGAGACGAATGCATCCATCAGTACCCCCGGTTACCATTAAATTTCCATCATTGCTAATTTTCACAATCCTTTGTAAGGGTTCTTCTTCACTGAAGTCAGTTAATAATGAATCTCCTGATGTTATCTTAAAATTAATTTCTTTACCTGCTTTACCATTATGAAATGTTGGTTCTATTATGATATCGGCCATATATTGTCGACATCTTTCATTTTCATTTGCTGCAATATAAACTGTATTACCACTTATATTTGTACAACAGTTCATAATTACATTTGGACCACTATCGTAACGAATTACTTTTGTCATTGATATAGTTTTACCATCTCTATTTAGCTTGAATACTTCAAATCCATTAGCTATGCCAGTTTTGCTAGAACCGCCACCACCAGCCACCAGTATATAGTTCTTGAGGAACGTTTGAATTGAATACATCGGCAGATTTGTTGTAGTGACCACTTGAGACATGCTTCCCATATTTATTAACTGTTAATTTATAACTTGAATGAATTTCAAGAAATTTAGAATTTTAGTATTAACTGTTGCTTAGTATTTTGCTTTGATGTCAAAATCACAAATGTTATCATTTTTATCATTATATATTGATAAGAAGACCAGTGCTAACATTCTAGAAGTACTTTATGTTTTAATAATAATTGTTTTGTAAAACAAAAATAAAGTTCCCAAAATATTAAGAAAAATGTGTTTAAAAATAAAATCATTTGTTATAAATTAATATTAATAATTATATTGTACCAATGTACTTAACTATATCGATATATGGCTATATCAAAAATGTAAAATTTTGAGCACTCTATTACTCAAATCTCTTCCTTTAAAATAAATATTGTTAAAATATATTAATTTTTAAACATTACTTTAAAAAAAAAAAAAAAATTTGGTGAATTGTTTAATTTATAAATATTAATTTTACCATAATATTATAACAATTTATTAAAATATCATTGATATTCTATTTGTATATGTATACTATGCAGAGTGTATCAGTGGCGCAAATAGGAAAAATATTTGGGAGGCCCCAAGAAATTTTTTTTAAAATTATAATTTAGTTCCCATGCCCCTCCCCCCTTGTTTGCGTCACTGGAGTGTAATAGTGTGTCAGCCATAGTATGTTGCATATCATGTAGTTCCATTGTGAATCTAGCTATATAAATAAATTAGTAAATTACCTACTTATAAGTTATAGTATAGTAGGTACTCATACTATAGCTTATATTAATTTTTGGAGATACAACCATACAATAGTTTGAAAATTAATAAATATTAAAGATATTCATTGATTTGAGATGACCCTAAATTTGTTGACATGTTGATGAGGTAGGTACCTAATTGTTCCCAAATAAACATGTATAGGTATACCTAGGTATTATTATTAATTATACCCTATATTATTTACCTAGGTACCTATTAAATATATTTTTGGAATTTTAAGTAAATTAAAATTAAAACTTGTGTTTTAATTAGGTAATTCTTTCATTCAAAAATTGTTTTAATTATAACTTACCTTAAAAATTTTTAATTTTATTTATATTATACAAATTTAGCTACCTATTTTAGGTTCTGAGCGGAGCAATGAATGTATTGATTTTACGGATTTTACAATAATGTGTCTTTTTTTTTTTATTTGTGTCTAACGTCTGTCATCACCTTTTAGGACATTAAAAATGCTTAGATTATCTTCAATAACACTTTTTCTGATAGGATAGTGAATCTAGTTGGTACTTGAGAGAGGGGAGGGGATCAAAAGTAAAAATTTCTTATTAGTTTTCAAAAGCTCTAGAAAAAACAAAAGGAAAATTAAGAAAATACGGGAATTTTTACGCCAAATCTGTTTTTGACAAAAACAATTTTGGTTTTTGGAGTAACTCTAAAATAAATGACAGTAGATATATGACATTTTAACTGAATGTTTATATTTTCGTTTTTTGTACACCATACAGTTATGAAAATATTTTGAAGGTTTTTATGGACATTTTCAATTTTTTTAGTTTTTTTTTCTATAAATGTGAATAAAATGTTATGTGTTGGGTCAAAAAGCGTAGACATTGAATACAAGGATCTTGATATATTGTTACAACAGCAGTTAAAAAGTATTAAAAATACACTCAATTTTTTTTATAAGCATTTGAAGTTCAAATTTTGACAAAATGTACCTATCACCTAATTTAAAATTTAAAAACGATTTTCTACTTAAAAATGTATAAATGGTTCAAATCTTATAGCTAAGGATTGGAAATTTAAAACAAGGTTCCACATAAGTTGGTTATTAAATAATCAAAAATATAAATACAGTTTTTTTTTTATTGTCATTTTCTGTTTAAATTTGGAGGAAATTAGATATTTTAATGAAGAAGAATGATTTTAGTGCAGTTTACTATTTGCTTTTACCTAAACATAATATTATTATATAATATTGAAATTTTTTAGTATAGACATATTTTTTTTATGCTTTATTGTTTGATTATAATTGTATAGGTGCGTATTATCTACCTTTGCAAATATGCATTTTTAATAATCTTTCTTTATGTTTTAGTGGATAAAGTGTCATTGTATGTAATAAATGGTGTTTATGAACAGCATAAAGGAAAAAATCTGAATCTCATTGATAAGAATGTGTTAGATGATATTGTATCTGATATCTATTTTGCGGTCCAAAAAGAGCACTCAGATTTAACCTTTGATGGGGAAATAGTATCTAACGTTTTGGTTCAGTTATTGGGCCAAATATTTTCAAAGTGAGTTTTAATATAAAAAAATGTATTTATAAATTGTACATATTCGTGATTTAAGTGCATTTTATTATTATTTATTTATGAATTTATTGTTTTTTGTTTAATTATATTGTGTATAGGGAATGTTAATATAAAATAAATATATTGCACGATGTGCATACTATACATTTTATTACTTAGTTTTAAATATACTAATTTTACAATTAATAATAATGTTGTTTAAAATATTTTTCAGGTATACAAATAAACAAATCAACTTGAGATCTGCGCTTAATGTCATTGCTTGTTTATCATGTGATAGACTTCGTGTACGACTGGGTTACATGTTCCAGTTAAATTGTCTTAATAATGAACTTGGATTAACAAAAGAATGTCTTAGAAATTTTTTAAGGGATCTAAGTTTATTACTGAACTTTTTATCAGAAAAAAGTTTATTTGAGTCTTCATCCATAAACAATATTATTGATAATTGTTTCCAAAATGTAAATAATTAATAATAAATAAATGTTTAAGTAATAATGTGTGATATCTTATTGTTTTATTTAATTTTTTAGTTAAACAACCCAAATTGTATGACTGAAGCTGACTTCATGAAATGGTTTATGACTGAGCCACCAGTATTAGAATGGTTACAAATATTGTATAGAATAAAAATGGCAGAAAATGGTAAGGTTAATTAATGGAATTAGGATTAGCAATGATTTTTTTCCACTCTTGTTTTAATCAAAATAAGTACATATTTTCAAGTTATATATTTTATAAAAATCAGAATAAATATTGACTTTTGGTCCTCATAATATACATAAGTTATTTTTGTAACCAATAGCTAATTGGTAGGGCTTAGGGTTTGTTATTTTGGTATACATTTTCATTTTTACATTATAAATTAATTTAATTTTAAAAATAAGTCTATATTGTATTTGTATATTCATAGGCATAGTTTACATGTCAAGCCACTAGAAACGGTCAGATACATACATTTAAATGAACTTAAAACTTGTTCTTAGAATTTTTTTTCGTAATGGGGGAACTTTTCAAAAATATATACTTTTGGCCAGATCTGCAAAATAGTTCTTCACACATCTTTGTATTGTAATAACTAAAAATTTGAAGTGTATTTAAATAATAATAATAGATAAAAAAAATATTATACTAGTCAGTTGTCACATGTTGTCATGTATGTGTTATCTCTGTCTTACAAACATAAAATACATCAAATTTTAGTTCGGCAATTCCAATTTTTTGTAATTACCTTAAATATTAGAGTGATTTGTCCTATTAGCCAATTAAACTGTAAGAACATTATCCGTGTTTGATTTTGTATGGTATTTTAGTTTTTAAGTGAGTTATGACTGAATATTTAAATACGTTCATAATGATAATATAACTCGATAATTAAGTTACCTTTAAGTTTACTGTTTTATCATATTAGAGCTAACAACACTACATTAGAATTGCACCCATAGACATCAAATTCGGTTATGAAATACACTTTAAGTGGTTGGAGCCAGCTATTTATTTAAGTGTAAACATTTGAATAATTTATAGTTTCTTGGCTACCTTTTATTAAACTTTACAGAAAATATAATCAATCCATTTCAATGATTAAAAATTATTTTACAGGAATAACAATCATGTCTCATATAATAGTAAGATATTGATAACTTTTTTTTTATTGTTTAAAAGAGAAAATCTTTATTCGAATTGCACTGAATTATGATTTTTTTAATTAACTTAAAATAGCGCCAGAATATTACATTTTAAAAACCTCAAAAATGTGTGTTACAAAATTTTTGAATTGGAGTCCAATCCAACTAGCATAAAGTGTGGATGCTTAAAGGAAAAAAAATAAATTATCAAAGTATTACTATTTCATGAAGCATGATCGTTTATCCTGTATGCCAAATTTTTGTACATAAAACATGTTGGCTCTGATACCTTTAATAAAAACTTTTTATATTTTTCAGTCAACCATGAAGTGAACTGTAAAGTTTGCAAATTACCTGTGAAAGGTTTACGCTATTTTTGTTTAAAATGTGTAAATTATAATCAGTGCCAAAACTGTTTTCTGATTGGCGCCACTAATAAAAAACATAAATTAAAGCATGCTATGCAAGAATATTGTTGGCTGGTTGGTATTTTACTTAACATTTTCTTAAAAGTAAGCTTATCAATTAAGAGTTTAAAATGTTATCTATTTGTAATTTTTAGGAAACACCTCAACAGTTATACACACAATACTTAAAGTCCTATTTGGGAAGAATTTTTGGTATAACATCAAAAATTCGATATCTTCCTGTTGAGATGCCTATTGATGTTATTGAAACAAAACAAAAGTAAATACAATTTATAATATGATATAATATAATATGAGATATCTTAGTCCATGATTATATTACAATTAATAAATTATTATGTGATACCTTATCTTCTTTATAGTACTCATTTCTTTAAAGAAAAGTTAATAATGTCAAAATTACCATACAACTACTCAATGTCAAACACATAGAAATTGGTATATAGATATACATGATAATAGTGCATGAGTAAAATATTATACATCTTATAACATAGGTATTTTTTTTAAATGTGTTAACACTGAAGTAAAATTCTGTTTTTATATTTCTATTAGTACTCTTAAATTATTGTTGATATTTTTTGAAACAGCTTTTTCTTCTTTGATTCTTTTTTGCTTGAAATAGTTGGTCTTGTAATAATCATATTTCTATAATCGTCTTGTGAATAATCTATTGTAATTTGGTTGACAGGCTAAAAATGTAATTTATATAATAAGTAAATAAGTAGGTAATGGTATTTAATATTTGAAATTATATAAATAACTATGTAAAATTAATTTTTATGAACAAAAATACTCTAAATGTTTTATATCTGTAAACAAAAAAATATTTAAATCACAAGTCTTGATAAAAGTTAATAATTATTGTTAGTTTAGATATATTTTTTTAATTCAATATTTTCTTCTGTAGATTCTATTGGTTTTGATTAGGGGTGGGTTGATTCTTGTCGTCTAGGTCCTAAAATTCTACTTTAGATTATTGATGCTGTTTCCAATGCCGATTCTTTTAAACATTATTAAAAATTAAAACTAAGAACTAAATAATGCATTTATAAATAACTTTACTAGCGTGAATTTTATTATAAAACATAAATAACAACATCAAACAGTGTGATCACAAAAAAAAACCAGGTACCGATGAATCATCATTCTAAAGCCTAAACCGACAACCGGTACAGGTCCATCAATAGTTTTGATATATTCGTATTTCAAGTATAGAGTTGCTGTATAAATCACATTATACAATATATTCCTTCTACATTCTTCAATCGCAAATTAAATTTTTCTTTTTTTCTTTCGCAGTTTAATTCTTGAAATATCCAACATGTGCTCACAAATTGTATTCAAATGAACAGATTCAACAGATATACAAAAATAATTGAGTGTGTGAATCTGTTCAATTAGTATCAGGAGGTTGGGGGTTTGTAAATGTGTATGTTAATCTTTTGGATTAACGTGTGCTTGTTTTAAAGGTATAGTACTATAGTCAATATAACAGTTGTCATAACTCATTGTCCTGCTTAAAATGCCTTAAATACAAGTTAAAACAACTACCAAATAAATAGTTCTATAATTATTGTCATTAATAAATAAATAAATTCAATACTATTAAAGAATTCCAAATAAATTTAAATCAATAAATAAAAAGTTAAAGAATTATTTAAATTAACTATTTTTATCTCATTATAATATATTATATTGATGCATAATAATAATCAGTAGAAAACTAGTATAATCTGTTTATTATTTATGAAATACTTGATGAAACATATTTTGTTGTTTTAAGTTTTTTGAAATAAGTTAAGTTTTTTAAATTTAACATTATTTGATAAAAACTATTTAAAGACATTGTTTTTTGTTTATTAATATAATAATAAAATAAATTACTATAATGACTAAATAACTTAGTAAAACTTACTGTTCGTAAAATATTTTGCTGAAGAACATACTGAATTATTTCTTCACATTCTTGTCGGTTATTATAAGTACCAGATACAATTGAATTTGTTTGTGCAAACATTAAATTACCCTATTATGTAAAAATAAAATAATTATTAAGTATTTTCAAAGAAATTAATCTAAAAAATATCTTACCATAGTACAAAGATTCACAAAAAATATTTTTGTAGATGTTTGTTTTTAAATGTATTAAATTAAAATCAATAGTGAATGATATATTATATTGTAGGCAAAAATTATTTTAACAGTAGGATTAATATTATAAATGACTTAGTTTATTAGTAGACCTATCTAAAGATATTGATTCAATTTTAAGCATGTTCCTTTAATTTATCGTATTTATTGCATTAAACAAGACGAGGTCATTGGTAATAATTAATAAGTGATAGCACAAGTATAGTATTGAGTTATGCATTTATGATATAATAAATAATTTAATTTATGTACCAATTAAAAAAAATAAACACAGTTTACATGTATTAAATAAAGTTATAAAATACTAAAAAATTAAATATACTAAATGGAAATAAATAAATATATAAACCATTTGTCAATAGTTGTCAAGTGTGATTTTTTTAACATTTGATAAAGCTTGTAGCTATTAAAATATTAAATACTTGACTATGATATGATGTGCTTTATATTAAACTTTTTTGAATTTTTTTTTTTAGTGTTAAAGAATTCAGTACTATTTCAATTGATTCCATCTCAGTCAAATCACCTCGTCAAGAATTGCAGAGTGTTATATCACAAATAGAAAGAGAAAATAGGTACAGAAATATTATTTAAGTTAATTAATTTTTAATATAGTAAATATTAGATTGAACGGAAAATGTCACATTTAAAAATAACATAATCCATTGAATTATAATATGCATCAATTACAAAAGTGAATGAACTCAATTAAATATTATATTGGTATAGAGTTATCAGATGTTTAAAATTAGAAGTGTGTACAAAAATTTGAAAAATATATAATTGAAATATTTTTGAATTATTACATATTTTCTTATTTGTTTTCAAAACAATTGTTATTACTTACATGTTGATATTATGTGAACATAATTTTAAAATTATGATGTTCCTTTTTTATCAATTATATTATTATAGTTAATCTTTAAATTTATAAGATGCATTGATTGGATCAGTAAAGTTCTAGGATTTTTTTAAGGTTGATGTCACCAATATAAATATATTATATTATATTATAAAATAAAATATAGTTATGGTTTAAAAACAATTGACCAATCAAGACATTCATAATATATTTATTTCTTGAATAAATAGCATTAATGATAGTGATGACACTTTTAAACTTAATTGCAAAATGTATATTTAACATATGCTAATGAGGGGAAAGTATATCCCTCCGAACACCACCCTTTCATGCTCAACTGCATTGAATTATATAAAATAAGTGGCAAACTTTACCATCAAGATTTTTAATTTGCTTTAAATTTCCTCCCTGCCCAGAAGTCTTTCTTAATAACATACCAATCCCATCATCCCAATCGGTTAAGTACTTAGGCCTAACCTTTGACCGTCGCCTGACCTGGGGACCTCATATCAAAACTAAAAAACTCGCCCTAAACGAACGACTACGCTCAGTTAAACCACTAATATCTAACAAGCACACTAAACTAAACACCAAACTTCTCATATATAAATCGTTAATCAAGCCCATGTGGAATTATGGCCTACAACTATGGGGCAGTGCAAAAGTAACTAATGTAAATAAAATCCAAACCGTTCAAAATAAAATTTTAAGATTATTCACTAATGCCCCACTATATGTCTCTGCACACAGATCTAAACATAAAAACAGTTCACGCTGAAGCAATAACATAATACAAAAGATTCCATAACAGACTTCCATATCATCCTAATCCCCTTATATCCAATTTAGCTTCTCGCACAATTCCAGGCAACCCCGCACGACGACTAAAAAGAAAATGAATAATCCAAATAATTTAAAAAAAAAAAAATATATATATAAATAAACAATTAGGTAGTGCGTTCACTGGTTGGCTTCTTCCCTCACGTTTTCATGTACAAAATACTATATCACATATTCTTATTGTGGCCTAAGGGTACAGATTGTATATATCTTGTTAAAAATTAAAAAAAAAAAAAATTGCTTTAAATTAACATTGTTTAACTATTAATTTTTACTTTGTGATAATTAAATGACTTCAAATTTCAATAGTGAGTAAACAAATAAATTTGATTTTAGTGGTGAGTTGTAATGCAAAAAAAAAAAACAAAAATTAAAAACATTTTATTTATTTAACAAACATAAACGTTTTCATAACTTGTTTAAAGTTTATACACTCATGAAACATAATATCTACATATTTTATCAAAGATAAGTACCGCCTATTATTTTTGTTTGATCTTTTTATATTTTAATAATTAAGCTATTTACGTTAATGTTAAAATAATAAAAAGGTGAATGGTTAATTGTTTCAAGTTTAACAGTTGAAATGTATTAAACATAAAATAACTATTTCATAAGACATTCATGGAAATGTATGATATTATCTTTTTTAATGTGAATATTAAAAAGGTCAAATTAAAACGTTTTAAAAAATGATTAAATTAAAATATATTATAATATGTAGGTATTTTTTTAAGATTAAGGAATTTAAAAAAATATATCAATGATTACAAAATCATAACATTATTTTTCAAATAAAACTCAAAATATTGTATGTATTTGTATTGAAACCTTAGTTTGATTTTAGTGTTTATAGAAACATTTTTTTACTTTAATATTAATAATAATAAACACACAAATACATGCATTTTATGTACATGTACATTCTTAGTACATATAAGGCCATTCAGTGGAGTATCCAGGATTTTGAAATGATGGGGTTTTAGTAAAAATTAAACCTAGTTTTCTACAGTAAAAGTATAAATAATACATTTATTAGGCAGAAAAATGTCAATGGGGAAGGGGGAGGGAGTCCATTTTTATACTGTGATACAGTGATATATCGGCTATATTTTGATTTGTTTAAATAGTTAAATAGCTGATGTCAGTTTTGTATTATAAATTATTGTATTATAAGGGTTATTGCTGGTTGACAACCTGAAGCACCTTGTATGACTTCTTGCCAGGAACAACCTCTCCAATAAAGCCACGTGTTACAATTGTTTTATTTCTCATGACCATGATTTGTTGTGAACATTTACATGTTTACACAAAGGATAATATTATAGTGGTTTCCTTTTACCTTCCACATTGAGTAGCATCCTATATTACTAAAGGATGCTGTTCAAGCATAAATTATTATTGACTTATACTTTAACAATAATGATATTATATAACTATTTATTTATTATGTAATGAGTTTATCAAAAATATACTTAACCAGCATCTCTAATCGAAAAATATATAACTTAAAGTTATATACATGTATTATAAAATATTCTCAAAAATAGAGGATGCCACGTTTTCATTCAGAATTGTTTTTGGTATACAATGATTTAGCGAGTACCCGGTTTTTTATTTTTATGACACTTACCATTTTATTAGAATTAGTATTTTTATAATATTAATTGGCTTAGCTAATGTACACTATATAATGTGAATTAATAATAATAAATTAGATGTTTATATTATAGAATTAATAAATAATAAACTTCTAATGTATTTCAGACTGTTGGAGATTGAAGTCAATACTTTGAAACGAGGTGATTCTCAGTTTGAAGCGTTTTTAGACCAACACCGGAGCAAAATCGAAAGACAGTTGATACGTCTAAAACAATTAAAGGTGGCTTAACAGTTAATATATTGATATATTATAAAATAAATATAATATATTTAGTTACTATCGCTATATTAGTATAATCTATATAATATACCAAAGAAGTGAAATTTGGTCAGTAGTTTCGTTTAATGATGTAGAGACCCGCTAAGAAAGGATTTTCCAAAATTCACAATTTAAAGAAGTCCTCTAACAAAGATTTGGAGATTCACGGTGGACATTTAAGTTTTTTTTGTAATTTATAATAGTAATAGTAGAAATTAGTATTTTTTTTTATATATATATATAATATTATATAAACAGTTACCATTGGTTACTTGGGCAGGTAGGTACATCGTACATTCATGTATCAAATCCCATAGCCTTGATTAATGAAACTATATCTTAAAACCAAATGTATGTTTGTAGCTTAAATAGGTACTCAAAAACTACTCGACTGATTTTGATAAAAACCTTAGAAATTGTTTTTAAAGAGTAGGTAGTTTAAATCATGTTAAAAAATATACGAAGTGCTAAATGCAATCCGTGACTTGTAGTAGCTCATTTAGGTAGAATTATTTCACAGGGTATATACACTGACTCCTATTTGTCCGTGAACTGAGGTACACTAAAACTGAGATAAACTCAAACCGAAATACATCTATATTTGCACACTTGCGATGCCTGGTTATTCAGCTAGCATGGTATAATATTACTAGCTATAGCAAATTTAAAGAAGCACAGTTTGATTTTTTTTGTGTGTGTGTGACACTATTTTATAGTTGATAAAATGCTTTAATTTCTACTTGAATATATTTTCTGATCAGAAAGTGAATATAGTTGGTACTTTGGGAGGTCAAAAGTAAAAAATCCCCAGTACTTTTCTTAATTATTGTGAAAACAGTTAATTTTTACGTAAAACCAGTTTTTGGCAAAATCAATTTTCTTATTTTGTTGTAATTCAAAAACAAATAACTTCACATTCTTGAATTTTTCATCAAATAATTTACTCTAGTATTTTCTGCATCTTGTATAATATTCGAAATATTTTGACTTTTCTTGACGAGAAAAAAGCAACATAACATGAGCAATTAAAAATTTTTTAGTTTTCAATAATTGTCGATTTAAACTTAAAGATTGTTGCTTGATCAAATAGCTTCAAAATGTAACACAAGATTTCCCATAAGTTGTTATTAAAGCTATTTAAAAATATTAAAGATACATTTATACTATATTTTTTTTTTATAAGCATTTGTAGTTAAAATGTTTACAAAATTTGTTGAAATCACAAATATTTTTAAATATTTTTGAAGTTAAAAATATATAAAATATTAAAGAATTATGAGAAAACTGTTAGAACTGAAAACTCATAAGCAGCTAATAACAAAACAAAAAAAAAAACAAATATATAAAAATATATAATCACAATTCTCTTATAGACATTTGAAGTTCAAATTTTTACATAATTGAATATTTAATTTAAATGAAGCATAAAACTTTTAATTATTTTGTTGTAATTGTAAATATGTTACTTGTGGAGACTTGAAACTTTTAAGCATATTTTTATATTATATATGTATACATTTACGGCATTTTAATAAATTTAGATTAATCTTAAGCTATTTATAGCACGAACCTAGTGGAGATAAATTAATGTAAATTTTTTTTATTAATGTAAAAACATCATCGAAAATATGAAAAATAAATTTAACATTTTTTGGTTTCTATATGACTGTATTCGAACGAATGAACTATAAAACAAGTTTGTTGTTTTGGGTGATTATAGTAAGCAGCGGCGCGGCGTAGCTATAGGAGTGGTTTTTTGTTTACCCTCCCCCCTCTCCAACATTTCATAATCCTGGCTACGCCACTGCTAGTAAGTATATATAATTACTGGTGCGGGAGTGTAGGTGCATATAGGATTTGTAGAAAAAACGTCAGGGCTATAATTATAGCCTATTGCCAATATCTGGATGATATTATAACAATAACATAATAATATTGTGTTGTCGACATATTATTATTACAATAGTTCATAATGCTTATCATGTATCTATGTATATTTTAGAACCATTTGAGTGGTACGTTCGGACGCGGAAAGATGAAGCGTATGCAGAGCACGCCGCTCATCATGTCGAGACCGGACCGTAAAGGTGATGGAATCGCCGCGGTCAATCTGAGCCCGATATTTTCTGCCGATGCGTCGTCGCGCTCCGTGCACAGCTGTACTGGTCTGGATGCACTCAGCACGTTGTACGGCGAGAAGACGGTGGCCAGAGAAGGCTTGGTCACCGAACCTAACGAGTTTTCTTACTGGCTGGGCCCGAAAATTGCCGCCTCCAAGAACCGAGAATTGGACGGAACTTATATCGAAAAACCTGCAGAGCACAGCGACAAAGAAAACGACACTGCGGCGGCCGTTTCCGTAGTATCAGACAGGCCCGAGCCCGAACCTCCGTCGTCGGTCTTATCCGACATCCTGAACAGACCGTCAGGTGGTGGAGGCGGGCCAAAGTCTCCTGACAAAATTTCCATTACTGTCAACAAACAGTCGTCGGTGTGGCTCAACGCGAGTAGAGACTACGCCAGAGAGCCAACTGACGACAAAGACATGGACGAATTGCATACCGAATTAGATAAGATTTTGGACCAGTTACAGAAACTCGTGACTTAGATAAAAAAAAAAAACAACTGACTTAAATTTTTTTCCTATTAAATTTAATTTCGCACTCTATAATATTGTATAATTTATATATTATACATGTATTATACTTTGCATGATACCTAATGTATTACTATATTTAAAATAACTTTATTTATTTGTATATAATTAATAGCACATATTTTAAGAGTGGATTGCAGTACTTAAAAAATACATATTTTTGCAATTACATTTTTATAAAATTCATAAAACTATATTTTGTCTCTAATACAATTGTATTTGTGTAGGTACCGTGTACATAACCTATGTAGGTATTTCTATATTTTTTTTGATGCTTTCATTTTATAACATATATCGCAAAAATATATAGACACGTATGCATTCTATAAAAAAAATTGTTCTCAGATACCCACAAATCTCAAGAATATTCAAAAACATTATATTATGCGATTGATCTGGAATGAATAAACGACTAACAATTAATTGTATTAATATGTTCTGTTCTTTTGTTCATCATGGTTTTTTTTTTTATAAGTACCTATTTAAAGTTCAAATTTCGTCAAAACCACAGTTAATTTGTAGTTTAAAACTTATAAGATATTAAATGTCTTTTATACAAGTAGTTCATACGTTTACCGAAAAATTACAGATAATTTTAGGAAAATTGGTATGCAAATACAATGTTTTTTGAAAAATGAATTCATTCTGACGTATGTGAAATTTATGTCTTGCTTATTTATGTCTTGCTTATTGACAGTTGAAACTTGATAAATATTTTTTTTTAAGTACCTCATATAATACGGGCAATGTGGGGGCCTTCAGCCCGTTACTCCCCCCCCCCTCACGCGGACGCCACTGGGAATTTTAGTGTGTTAATCTATAAAAAAATATGTGTTAGCCTAAATCATAACTACAGGCATCATTGCAGCTGCATAATGCGGTACACTCGATACGTTTAATATGACGTTGAAAACCTCCAGCAGTTGATTTTATAAATTTTACGTGGAGTAATGCTGATCAAAAACTGGTTAAATATATGACGTATATCGACTCACAGTTCGTCTTAGAAATACTGGAATTTAATAAGTTAAAATCATTCTATTATTATAGTCCAAACATATTCAGTATGCAAATATTTACCACAAATGAAACTCGTTTTTATTGTGCAATAAATATAAGTTCACTCGTTCATTGCCGGTACTTGCGCTTATCGAATGAATGGCCGATAAGCAGTCTACCAGTCTACGTGTATACGGTTCCAATATTTTTTTATTTGGTGTTCGCATTCTAGGTAATAAACAAAAATAAAGGAAGTTGTCCCAAGTTAACTAATATTATTTTTTATTTTATAAAGAGGAAAAACTAGTGTTAAGAATGATTGACCTTGGGTGTATAAACGGTCTACTACCGGTTGACTTTATAAACAATGTTTTATTCATGGTCATCGGGACTTCATATAAATTACAATGCACCAAATATGCCAGTTAGTTTTCGTTCTCCGTCGTAATAATAAGACGTATTTTCATATTTAAAATCGCTGTCTGTTGATCTTCGTGGATTTATGGAATTTACTTTGAAGTAAGTCGAACTATTTTATGCATAAACTGTTTTTTTTTCTACTTGCTTACCTATTTAACATGATGTAGATAATTTTATCTACATCGTGCTATTTCAATAAGTACCTACTTCAAAGTGCACAATATGTCAATATACATATTTTCCTCTGTTCGATAATTTAATCGTGTTCTATATTATAGTTTGCAGCACAATAATTTATAGTTACGTAGGTATTTCAGTATTTGAGATATGTACTACAGCGATTTACAATATGTACCTATGTATAATAATATGTAGGTAGAAAATATCGGCATGTTACATGTAGCTATAGAATTCACCATTTTGCAACCATATCCAAATTGAACTCTGATTTAGTCTTGTGTAAATCAAACACCGAATGCATGTTATAATAACATAGATTAATTATAATTTCTTTAAATCTTAAAAATAAGTACCGTAAGGTGGGGTTACTTTGATCATTAATTTTCAATTATTTTAGTTTTATACTTATTGTACTAGTAACCAACTGAAATATATAACATTTAATTATTTATAATTATTCTACATTATACCTTTAACTGAACATTTCTCCAACCAAATTTTTTTTTTACATTTTTACATTAGTTATAACTAATATTAGTTATTGATCAAACTTACCCACCTTTTGGGGTGACTTTGATCGCACCCCTGAAAATGCGTATAAACATGGGTACAGTCATCAAAGTGATCATTCTCGCCCCAAAAAAAAATCAGTTCGGTAATTTTTGAGTTTTGAGAGAAAAAATGTTTTGTAGAAAAAAATCAAATGATCAAAGTCGCCCCTTAAGAGGACGCTACACCCGCATGTGTTGTCTCCGTCTTACACACGTACGACATAGACAAAACGCGTTTAGGCAGTCTGAGTATAACTCGCTTAATTTTGGTTCTAGAGTAAAAATACCTATTATGAAATTGAATTGTGATAATATTTCTAAGGGCAAGACGCTGCGGTTTTTTTTAAAAAATTTAATTTTTTAAAAGTCAAAGGTATTTTAAAAATGGTGAAATATTTTCTATTTCTAAACGATATAATGAACGTTATATTGGGTATATAATGGAAAAACCGCAGCGTCTTGCCCTTAGAAATATTATCACAATTCAATTTTATAATAGGCATTTTTACTCTAGAACCAAAATTGAGCGAGTTATACTCAGACTGCCTAAACGCGTTTTGTCAATGTCGTACGTGTGTAAGACGGAGACAACACATGCGGGTGTAGCGTCCTCTTAATGTCAAACTCACCCCACCTTACGGTACCTAATAAGTAGTAATACATTGCATTTACACGAGTAGGTATACTTGTAGAACAGTAGTACATTATAGATTGTTCAGCTATACCTATAATATAATATGATTGGTTTTTACCATTAATGCCAATATTTACAAAAAGTCAAAAACTGTAGATACCTATAGGCTATAACCAATCAAAAATTGTTGATAAATGTAATCATTTACAAACAATAAAGTATGTAGGAGGTACCAAACTTCAATATTATTATTTATTGTATCTACTACACAAATATAATATAAATGTAGGTACCTATACTTAATATTACTTAATAAACATTGGTGCATTATAATACATTATGACGTGACGTTTTATACTTTTATGTTTGCGTTTATGCATTATTAGTTTTTGGTTAAAAATATTCAATACATAGTAATATTACATACCCCTCAACGTTTTCTGTCTTAATCGCACTATATGGTACCTAGCAATATCAAAATACATAGTAATGACTAATGGCACAGGACCGGAAAGGTTTTTGTCTACAGTATCTTCCCTTTTTAGACGTATATTTTATGTAACTTCATATTTTATATAATATTTATTGTACCTACCTATAAGATTTATAGGATCTTAATATATTATGTCCCCAATGCAATTTAATATAGGTACCTACCTACAGGGAACATAAATATTTAGATATTTTATTATCTAATTTTATTACTTCAATAAAATAAAATAAATATCATAATTTAAACTAATCTTGTACGGCTGTACAACCGAATAGAAATTATTACCTTCTAGAATTAGATTCCAATAATATTACTTTATAAATATTTTGGTGAAAAAAAGAGAATAATAATATTTTATTGTTGTATACAAATAATAATCACGTAAATTTAAATTGATAAGTTTATACACTATAAGGTATCTACTTATTAATTATGTTAAAATTACTTTTTGGTACCTACCGTCTCATTTGAGCTGTCATATTATATTAACATTCACGGGAGTAACAATAATACACTTATTTATTTTTAAAAAACCTACATGACTTAGGTCCTTACTATGTTTATCAGAAATGTAGGTACCTACCTAGGTATCATACAATTATTGTTGATATTCAAAACGTGTAATTTTTCGATAGTATTGTCTGTTTAATACCTATGTTAAAAACCCTGACTAAATAATATTTACTATAAATCTTTGATTATATTATTATAGATATCACATTAGGTACACATTTATACAGCGCCGACGCGTCGTGCATAGGTTTTCTAATAATTCGTATTTGGTAAGCTATCAATCGGCTCAATACCTAATAATTGTCAATGCTACCTCTCCATAGATATTAAAATTATAACTTTTCAAATAAAATCTAGACCATTTTCCGACTCGGCTCAGAATTGTTTTTAAAATACTATAGGTATACAATTTACTTATATCATTTTGTTGCCTTCGTTTATAAACTTAAAATGTCGACTCTCCTAGGGTTGGCATCTATAAATCTAATAGAAAATCGGCTCACACATTCAGTCGATGCAGTATCTCAATTTCAAACATTCTCTATTTTTTGTAAGTGTAAAATATTATTTTTTTAGTAATAATAATTTAATATGTATAGGTATCTCCCTAATATTTGTTTGAAGTGATTTTTTGCAACACAAATACACAATAGTATTATACATAGGTATTAATGTTCCCAATATCTTTCACTTTTGGATTATTGTGTATTTTATTGCATATCATACTTTATGCAGATGAATAAATTAAAAGTACCTACCTATAGTTTTAATTGTTTGAACGCAAGAAAAAGATTAGTGCCTACCCACGTACCTATATAGGTACCTATATTTTCTTTTATATAACCGATAATAATTTTACTAAATTGTTTGCTATCATACTAGCTGTTATAGAGTTAGAATTGATTAAATTAATTTTGATTAAACCATGTTAAAGTTATGCTGATAAACATTCAAAACAATGAGAAGGGCCATTTCACCCCGTCCTATGGAACCTTTTTTTAAACACCCAAATTTAATGAAAGCCTAAACTCCTTTATCTTCCTTTTATTATAATAATTATTATATATTCAAATCGTATAATAAATAAACAAATAAAATTACCTATATATTTATACATTACATATACAATATTTAAATAATTAGAGTTTTTAAAATGTAGGTA